GGCAGCGGGAGCATCCCGGGGCTGCAGCTCCCCGCTCCCAGGGAGCCGAGCCGGGCAGAGGCTCCGGCAGATATTTACAGTCAGTGAGATAATTCCCACCCTCGGCCTCGCCGGGAGCGCTGCCAGCACTGACACTCGGACACGGCCCCACGGTGAAGTCACGGGCTGAAAAAGCGCAGCCCAGAATTCCTTGGAAAACCTCCCACTGTGTTTTTCCCCTCGTTAAATCTCTCAGTGCTGGAATTGCACAGTGTTGAGGGAAAAATGATCCCAGATATGGGGAACAGACACTGAAAGCATGAGATTTTCTATCTTATTAATAAAATACATCTCAGGGGTTGAGATGGTTTTTTGAACAAAGGATGGCTCAGGAAGGTTGAAATGTTAAAATTTTCATTAAAATGTAAGTTAAGGGGATTTAGATGGGTTTTTAAATTTTTTTTTTTAATTGTTTGAGGTTAATTTTGGGGTTTTTTTAAAACACATTTTGTGGGCATCGGGAGGCTGTGGGGTGGACACTCGTGCCCAATCCCAGGGACACGGAGCAGCTCCCAGAGTCCTGGCCATGGCCCAACAATGCCACCAAAACCAGGAGGGCTGAGTGGAATCTGAGGCTCTCTCTGTGCTCTCCATCAGCCTTTTCCCATGGCAGGGGACGATCCACCTCTTCCCCCACAGCCTGGCCTGACCGTTCCTAGGGAAGCAAATCCCATTTGACCCTCCCACCTTTTGGCTCCACAGCTGCCTTTTCTCATGTCAGCTGAGCCTGGAGCTCTCTGCTGCTCTGGGAGTGATTTATTGCGTTTCCTTACGGAAGTGCTAGTGGAAATCCCTTTTCCTCCCCTTCCGGAGGAGCTGAAGGACCTCCGAGCTCCAAGGCCCTCACAAATCCCTTTTTTTCACACCTCGCACCATTCCCATTGTTTCTTTTTTTCAGTTCTTCCAGCTCAGTCTTTTAAAGCCATTGACCTGTTGCAGCTGGATCCCCTTCTCTCCCTCTATTTAGCATGAGGCAAAAGTCACTCCCAATTCCTGTTTTCCTGTCTTGACCTCCCCAGTCCCTCAGTCCGGCTGGTTTTGCCCAAACTGTGGACATTTAGGGGTTTCTCTGCTCAGACAGCACTGGCAGACATTTCCCTTCCCCAGTAATCTTGTCCCACTCCCAACTGTGAGAACAGATCCTAAATTGGGTAAAAATTCTGATTTTAACACACTTCCCAGCTGGATATTTATTAATGGGACCTTCAGACACTTCCAAATCCCAGAATTTAGGAATGCCTGTTATTCATTAACCAGCTTTTTGGCTGCAGCCACGTTTGCCCCATTGTCACACACCCAGCCAGCAAAGCACCAGGGAGGATGGCCTCGGTATTTGGGCAAAGGAGAGGGAATTTTACTGGTCTGTCTATTATCAATCCCCTCCACCCACCACAGCCACCATGGGCCCTGGGCAAAGACACCAGGCTGGCTTCACCTCTGTGAATTCCCCATGAAAGCCCTGGGGGAAGAGACAAAACACAGAGGATATGACAACAGCTCCTGGAGGTCCTGGAGCGTCTGTGAGGAGAGGACGGGAAACTTGTGCTTGAAATGTGGGAAAAATAGGATATATGGAAATGTTTTAGCAATCTGGGAGGGTTTGCATGAGGGTGTGCGTAGTCTAGGTCCAGCACATGGACCTGCAGTGGGAGAATTTGTATGGAACAGACAGAGAACCAGGGATGGAGAAGCTGGAATGCTGAACCTCCATCAAGGAGGCTGCCTGGGAGGTGTATCCCAAAGGTAAGGGCTGACTCAAGCTCTGCTTCAGTTTCCTTCAGCCCATGGGAAGCCATCCATCCATCCATCCATCCATCCATCCCCTTCCCAGCTTCTTCCAATAGCTCATTCCCCATCCATCCATCCATCCATCCATCCATC